GTATGACTTATTATTATCCCTGCAGGGTAAAAAGACAATACGACCTACTTCAGACTATTCCTTCCAGGGATCTTTGTCCTCCCTACGAGTTCCCTGTCTCCTAGGAAGTAGATAAGTTTGATGCTTATTGGAGTGCCAGACCTCTATGGGAAGTAATTACTCAAAAGGTCCCTCTTTCCTTGCCCAATGATGTGAAGAAGTGGTTGCTGAAGAAACCTTCAAAGGACTTGAAGAAAAATCAGGGTAAAACTGATGTGAAGAGTCGTCTAGGTGACAAGGTGATTCCTGTTAGGGAACGTTTAGGTGAAAGAATTGAGTTCAAAACACCTGCAATGCCTAGGAAGAAAAGTACTACAAAAGATAAAGGAAAAAGGAAAGCTGACACCACAGAGAAAAAAGCTTGGGTAGAAAAAAAACATGGAATCCTAGCTGAGAGGGAAACTATCTACTCCAAGATTGAATGTAGGTCCTCTAAAGGATGCCTACTAGCTAAGGTTATGGATGAGGAGGAAGAAGCAGACAAAAATTAAAAAACCGCTAGGAAAGAAAAAGAAGATTAAGAGCATTGCTTAATTTTCAATTATTAGACTAAGTTTATTTTTTTTAATTTAAAGTTAATTTATTTAAGCTTTATTTAAATTCCATCAATAATGTAATTTTATTTTATTAATGAAATTTCAGCTTTTAATTAAATTATTTACTTTAAATTTATTTTATTAAAGCAATGAAAACCGAAAAAATTAATTTTCCAGAAATTCTTCGAGTACGGAAGTCGAAAATTTTCCGAAAAACACCGAAATATTCCAAGAATTTAACTGTGAATTGGCGCCACGATTTCGAGACTGGCGCCGGTTGCGGCAATCTGGCGTCAGGCGATGGTTACCATCGTCTGGCGCTGATGGTCATCGGCTGGCGCCAGAGTTTTTTCTGAGACGCCGATGTTCCGTCGATCTTCTGTCGAATTTTTAATTAATTCTAGGACGCGAGATTTTTAAAAAGAAAAGTGGCCGCACCCGTAAAGGGTTGTCTACGTATCCTTTCTTAAAAAACCAGGCCAAACGTAGCTCTCTTGGGCATCCTACTCAAGTAATTATGGGTAGTATTTCTTACGTTGGTCAAGATTTGTCATGTTCGAGAACTCATTGCCATCCATACCAGTTAGTTTTGCTGCACCTCATGACAGGATTGTTTTAACAATGTAGGGTCCAGACCAATTAGGTCTAAATTTTCCCCTTGGATCTAAAACATTTTTCCTTAGTGCTTTTAACACCAAGTCTCCTACTTTGATGTTTCTTGTCTTGACCTTTTTATTAAAATGCCTAGCCATACGAGTTTGATAACACTGAGTGTGATGTAGAACTTCTAGTCGCTTTTCATCGAGTAGAATTAACTCTTCATATCTTTCCTAGTCCATTAAACTTCATCGAGTTTACTCTCTAACACGATGCGTAGAGATGGAATCTCTAGTTCGATAGGTTGTACGGCATCCATTCCATATACCAAGGAAAAAGGAGTATTTCCTGTTGATGTGCGAATTGACGTGCGAGAACCCCACAATGCGAAGTGAAGTTTGTCAGGCAATCCTTATAATTTTCCGTCATTTTCTCGATGATAGTCTTTATATTTTTGTTGGCTGCCTTGACTGCTCCATTTGCTTGAGGCCTATAAGGGGAAGAATGATGATGTTGAATGCCATATTTTTGTAGCATTTCTTCACATTCGGCTTGAAAGTAAGTTCCATTGTCACTTATCATTTCATGTGGGAGTCCGTCACGACAAACAATATTTCTCTGAGTGCTACATGTTTTACAGTGAGTTTAGCGTATGATTGCGCTTTGATCCACTTTGTGAAGTAATCAATTGCTTCTAGGATATATTCGTGGCCTCCTGTTCCTGGGGGAGTGATTTTGCCAATGATGTCAATTCCCCTCGTAGAGAATGGCCATGGCGACGTGTAGGTGTAGAGCAAGGATGGAGGAACATGTTGTAAATTAGCATAGATTTGGCACTTAGGGCATCTTTTTACGTATTGAAGGCAATCCCTATTCATTGTAGTCCAATAATATCCTTCTCGCATTATCTTTTGGACTAACATTTTGCCATTTATGTGAGTGCCACAAATTCCCTCGTGGACTATCCTCATTGCTCTTTGTGCATCTTTTTTTTCCTACACATAAGAGAGCTCGACCCTAAGGTACCCTTTTAAGTAGCTCGTTGTCTATGAGTACATATTGTCTATGAGTACATATTGGGAAGCCAAGAGTCTTAATGCTCGTTTTTCTCTTTTGTCAGCATGGGGAGGGTATTCTCTTTTGGTGACATAATTGAGTATATCCGTGTACCACAGTTCTTCTTCTTCTTCTTCTTCTTCTTTTTCTTGGACTACTTCATCATCTTCTATAGCCTGCACTACAAGAAAAAGGGAAATTAGCAACTGATTTTTGCGACTACCGTAATAATCAGTCGCAAAAATTATTTTTGCGACTTAAAAAGACGAGTAGTCGCAAAGTTTGCAACTAATTTTGTAATAGTTGCTACGTGGTCGCTAATTATCAACTGATTTTTGCGACTACCATAATAATAAGTCGCAAAAATTATTTTTGCGACTGAAAAAGATAAATAGTCGCAAATTTTGCAGCCGATTTTGCATTAGTTGTTATGCGGTCGCTAATCTGCGACACTCTTAAAAGTTTTGCGACTAAATTATAGTTGCTGGGTCAACAATTTTAATTTTTTTTTTTAAAATTGCGATTGCAATTGCAACTATTCGATAGTCGCTACCATTGTTGTTAAAATTTATTAAAACAGAAATAAAAAAAAAAATTTAAAGGAGAAATTAAAAAGGATTTTTTTGACTTTACCACAAAAAAAATCACAAAATTAATTTTTTACTACCAAAACTTTGATTTTATCACCAAAAAAAAATTAAAAATTGATTTTTACCACATGTCGCCAAAAACCTAATAGAAATTTATATATTATTCGATTTTTGTGCCAAATACATGGTCTTTAGGGGTTTTGATACTTTGGATCCAATTTGAGGTCATAATTGACAAAAAATAATCATAATTGTTTCCTTTTGCGAGTCTAAAAATACATCGATTTGCGTGAAATACTCAAAACGACTCATTTTCGATCATTTTTTGTCAATTTTGACCTCAATATGAATCAACAAGGCCAAAATGCTCCCTTTAACTTATGAAAAAACAGGTTTTGCGCACGAAAATCGAAGAATTTTTTTTAAACCGTAAGATGTAATGGTTTTCTTTACGGTAGTTTTTTTTATGGTAAAATAAAACTTTGGAAAATTTGCAAATTGCAGCCATTTAAAGTTCGTATTGTGCAAATTGCAACCTTTTAAAAAAAATTACAAATTGCAGCCCAAAAGTTCATATAAATTTTAAATTGCAGCCCGATTCAACTTTTTCATTGGTTTACAAGTTGAAAAATCTTCAATTAAGGTTTTAGGGGCTATTTTAGTCATTTGGGATCTGAATTGAGCTCGGAATTTGCAAAAAAAAAAAGCAAGTATCTTGTTTTGCGCAACAAAAATGTATCGATTTGTGGGAAACTGTAAATATGAGACACTTACGTTATTTTTTTGCTAATTCCGAGCTCTATTCGGGCCCCTAAGGGCTAAAATGACCCCTAAAACCTTAACCAAAGATTTTTAAACATGTAAACCGATGAAAAATTAAATTTGGCTACAATTTACAATTTATGCGAACTTTTGGGCTGTAATTTGCAAAAAAAATAAAAATAAATGGCTGCAGTTTGCAAAATATGAAATTTAAATTGCTGCAATTTGCAAATTTTCCTAGAACTTTTAAAATTTTTGGTGGTAAAAAATAATTGTGTGTTTTTTTTTGGTAATAGTGAAAAAAATTCATAAAAAAACCCTTAGTATTACATAGACTTGGCAATCCTGACCCAGCCCCGATGACCCGACCTGAATGACCCGACCCATGACCCGAAATCGACCCGAAACCAGTGACCTGAAATTGACCCAAAACCCGAATTAACCCGACCCGATCCATACCCGACCCGAAGTGGAACTTACCCGACCTTGACCTGAAACCCGAAATGACCTAACCCGAAACGACCCGACCCGAAGTTGACCCGAGACCCGAAGTTGACCCGACCCAAAAAAGACCCGACTTTTAACTTCTTTTAGTAATTAATTATATAAGTTACTACCTCCGTTAACTTTTATTTGCAATTTTGGAATATTTTATATCTCACAAATAATACCCCAAAGTTACAAATAAAAGTTAACGGAGGTAGTATAAAAAGTTTATATTAGGAAATAATACATTAAAATAGACCCAACAACATCTTACATGACTACATTGACTTTTATATAATAGCTAAAAAAGATGGTCAAAGTGAGATGTGTGAATAGTGCAAAATGTCAAATCGTTAAGAGTAAATTGGGACGAAGGGAGTACAAGAATAATTCAAAGAAATTATTACAACAATGACAATGATAATAAGAGTACGTATTAAAAATAAGATGAATAAGAGAGTGAGGTATAACTCAATTAGTTCTTCTTAGTTTCAGGAGATCCTGAAAGTGATTCTTAGCCTAAAGTTCTAAACACACACACACAAAAAAAAAAAAAAATTTTAATAAAAGTCAAACAATTACTATAACCCATGAAATAAATAAATAAATAAATAAATATATATACAGAGTTGAATTTAACCCAATGAATCACCCGAATATGACTCGACTAGAAGTTGACCCGACCCGAAGTTGACCCGAAAATTGGACCCGAAAATTGACCTGACCCGAACTCGACCCGAACTTTTGACCCGATACTCGACCCGACCCGATTATCAGTCGACCCGAAATCAACCCGAAACCCGACCCGACCTGAACTTGATGCGATAATCTTTTGACCCGACCCAAAATGACCTGACCCATACCTGACCCGAATGACCCATTTGCCAGGTCTAGTATTACATGTTGTTCCTCAAACCAAGAACTAAATCGCTCTTTTTTACTTGAGTCATTCATAATACGTAATTACATACTCTTCTTCCTCCAAAAAAAAAAAAAAACAAAACAGAAGGCCAAGTGCAGAACTTCAGAGTAATCAATCAACCCGTCGTCGTCGTCTTCAGCTGTCGCCGCTGTGCCACCACATCTCCTCCCAGGTTAGTCACGTATTCTTCCCTTTCCTACTGTCCATTCCATCTTTCTCTTACTACAATTGGGCAATTGTGAATTTTAGTTTATCATTGAGTTTTTTGCCCCATTTTTTAAAATATGGTTTCCATTGCGATTTGTGAACTGATTTTAATCTAATTAAACTGATTGAATTTCGAGTTGATTTATTTGCGAATTGATTGAATTGATTTTAACTCTGGTTTCCATTGAGAATTGATTTTAATCTAGCTACCAATTGCAAATTTTAGGATTATCATAGTCAATTAATGAAAAACCTATCAAAATTGATTGATTATGCAAAAAGCCCTAATTATTTTCAATGTAAAGATCCCAAGTTATATTATTCCAACTTTTTTTTCCCTCTAAATGTGGTTGATTGGTTAGAGTATGTGATATATGATCTACAACCACTTATTCAACAATGCTCAATCAAAATCATGAGCTCTTTGAGGTATTCATTTTATGTATCATTCGTCCTCAATATTCTTTAATCTATAAAGTTTTGATTTTTGTTTTTGAGGTTGTTTACATCTATAACTGATCAACCGTTCTTAATAATATTAGTGAATGTTTCTTAGTTAGCCAATACCCAACTTTATTTTGTCTTACTCTCCTTCATAGTTCATACTTCATGCATCACTTGCTAGTGGATTATTTTATTAAATATTCATTGTACTTACAATGGAAACTAAGTCATGTCTACTGTCCTTATCTTTGCCAGCTCTCGTACGGTTGTGCTAGTCCAGTTGCTGCTGAAATCTAATTCTGCAAGCTCCTTTATAGATGATTATGCTCCGTGCCTAGAGACACGTGAACAAGAAGGCCAGATTGCGGATAATAGCAGTGATATCTGGGTGTGCTTATGCTCTAGGTGCTAGAGTATTGTTAGTGAGTTGCTTATACTATTAAATTTGTTATGTGGCTTTCTACTAATATCATCTCTTTTTTTTTTACATCTTCTTATTGACAATATCAGCAGGCCGCACCAAATGTGACTCATTTGTTACTTAAATTTGATCTAGATACCCTGATTGAGCTTACATACTTACAACCAAGATTTAATTATAGGTACGATGACTTTAGGTTTATGTGAATTCATTGTATTGATTGTTTTGTTCTTACAAGTTTTCTCATCTCTATACTGATTTGTGATACAGAGTTGCTTAATTATGGTTATTCTTGATATGTTGAATAAACTTTTGAAGCCGGGCGTAAATGCATTGCTTCATGAGTGTTTGGGTACAAAAATGGTCATACCCATTTTAGTCTTGGGTAATTTTACCCATATAAGCCCAAAGGGCATAAAAAGGTCTAAAAGGTCCCAAACAAGTAAAATGCATCAATATGGCCTTCAACGGCCCACATATGTACTTCTAAGGGTTCACTAACACCCACTATGTACTCCTATATATACCCCTCAAGGGGCCAAAGGTAAAGAAGGTCACTCTTATCATCTAAGATGACCATACTTCTTCACTCTCTCCCCTTAACTCCTCTCAATATATGCATTGTTTGGCTACTAACTTTGGCGTCGGAGGCTCCACCCCGGGATCCACCCCCAGGGCTCGGGGTTCATTTTGCAGGTTCTTAGGCACCCCATCGAGGCCCGGTTAGCTCATTTTTTGCTGAAACAATGAGTATGAATTTCAGGTTAGTCTTTTATTTAGATAGCTACAAAGTACCAATACTAGTCTTGAGAATTTTCAAGTGTTGGTGATTGTTCTTATCTGTAATCTAATTAAGGGTCTTTAATTTTACTTTTTATGCTGGCACATAAGTCCTTTGGTGCATGTTTTATGATTTGAACATTTGAGACCATATTTACTAATACATATCTTAATGCAGGGAGAATATATATGGAAAAACTTGAGGAATATAAGAACAAAGAAATTGAGATAAGCTCCAACAAAGTCTACTTAGAGGTTGTATGTGGGCAAAAGAAAGGAAAAGTTTACGGTTTAGGGAACGCTTCATAAATGTACTTCAAGAACGATTTGTGGATAACTACTAATCTTTAATATTTGGAGGCATATTTGTATATCGTCATTAGTTCTTATTTGAAGTAGCTTCCTTTATATGGGTGGTGATTTTGAAACAATTAGTCATGTGGTTTAGAATATTATTTTTATTATATTGATACAAATTGATGATATTTTTGATATTTTAATAAAAATGACATTTTGGTTATTTTAATTTACGCTTGGGAAACCTTTTCTTTTCTTTCGGTGATTGATATTGGTCATCACTAAATTATGGTCTCCAAATATTTATAGTCAATTACAAAAATTTAGCAACTGCAGATTTGTTTTAGAGACTGAATGGTTAGTTGCAAAATAATTGGTCTTAGTAGTCTCTAATCCGTCGCAAATTATTAGTCTTGCAGTCGCTAATCCGTCACAAAATATTCGTCTCCGTAGTCTTAAATTATTGATCTTTATAGTTGCTAATCCGTCGCAAATATTTTACGACGGAAAGTGATTTAGTTGTTAAAATTTTAAAGTTAGTCGCTAAATTGTAGTCAAAAGTCGTTGCAAATCCGTCGCTAAATTTGCGACTATCCAAAAATAAGTCGCAAAAATGAATTTGCGACGAGGTCTTCAGCGACTTGCCAAAGTAATTGCAAATCTGTCGCAAATTTATTTTTGCGACGAATTTGGTCGTCGCTAATTCGCCTTTTTCTTGTAGTGCTAGATGTATGCTGGTTTGTGCCTTTTCTCTATAATTAGAGGCATTTACTCGATTTCTGTGGGAATCCTAACCGTCGAGGCTAGTCTTGCCAAAGTATCAGCAAATTGATTTTCTTCTCTTGGTATATAGGTGTATTCTACCTTCTCTAACTAATCAGTAAGAGTTTCCAGATAGGTTTGATAATGGGCTAGACTTTCGCTCCTCACTTTCCACCTTTTGGATATTTGATTGATGATTAATGAAGAGGCTCCGAATATCCTTAACTTTTTTACTCCCAATGCCAAAGCTGTTTCAAGGCCTATCACGCATGCTTCATATTCAGCAGCATTGTTGGTAACGTCGAAATCAAGCTTTATGGAGATTGGAACATGCTCTTCTTTAGGTGATACTAGTAATACTCCAACGACGCATCCCTTTTAGTTTGAGGCTTCGTCGAAGTATAAGGTCCAGGTATCATATTCAGTTACCATTAACTCTTCATCCGGAAATTCATTGTCTTGTATTGACGTCGAGTCTTCTATTGGAAAATCTGCTAGAGAGTCTGACACCACAGATCCTTTGATGGCTTTTTGCGGCATAAACCTTACATCAAATTGGGCTAAATTGACTATCCATCTCGATATGCGTCCATTGAGTGTAGATTTCTCAAATAGATACTTGAGTGGATCTAATCGGGAGACTACGAAGATGGTATGCACTAGCATGTAATGTCTTAACTTGGTTGTGGCCCACACCAAGGCGAGGCACAATTTCTCAAGTGGTGTGTAACGTGCTTCGTATTCGAGCATCTTCTTGCTTAGATAGTAGATTGCGTTTTCTTTGCCTTCTACCTCTTGTGCTAGCATAGCTCCCATTGTCTCTTTAGTAACCGTCAAATATAACCTAAGAGGTATTCTAGGTAGTGCTAGTGCTAATACTAGAGGATTAGCGAGATAGGCTTTGATCTTTCCAAAGGCTTTTTGACACTCGTCATCCCATATCATTGGTACATTCTTCTTAAGCTTTTTAAAGATTGGTTCACATGTCGTCATCAATTTTGATATGAACCTACTTATGTATTGCAACCGGCCAATAAATCCTCGAATCTGTTTCTCGGTTTTGGGCGGTGGCATTGACATGATTGCTTTAATCTTGGTTGGGTCTATCTCTATTCCTCTAGAGCTTTTGACATACCCCAAAAGCTTACCTGGGGTGACTCCAAAAGCACACTTAGATGGGTTCAACCTCATATTATATTTTCTTAGCCTTTCGAAAAATTTCCTTAAGGCTACTTGATGGCCTGGACGGTCTTTTGATTTCACAATCATGTCGTCGACATATACTTTGACTTCTTCGTGCATCATGTCATGGAGTAAGGCAGTTGCTGCACGTTGGAATGTGGCACCCGTGTTTTTCAACCCGAATGGCATTACCGTGTAGCAGTAAGTGCCCCATGGTGTTATAAAAGTTGTTTTCTCCTTGTCTTCTTCTGCCATGAGAATCTGATTGTAATCTGCGTATCCGTCCATGAACGAGATAAGCGCGTGATTTTCCGTGTTATCTACTAGAATATCGATGTGTGGTAAAGGGAAGTCGTCCTTTGGACTTGCCTTATTTAGATCTCGATAATCGACACACACTCTTACCCTTCCATCTTTTTTCGGAATTGGGACGACGTTGGCGACCCATTCAGGGTATTTAGATACCTTGATGAAACTTGCAGTTATTTGTTTTTGAACCTCTTCTTTTATTTTAATAGCTACGTCGGGTTTCATTCGACGTAACTTTTGTTTTACAGGTTTCATTCCAGGAATTAGTGGTATAGTGTGTTGAGCTATTTCTCTATTAATGCTTGGCATATCTTCGTATGACCAAGCAAATACATCGATAAACTCTTTAAGTAAGTTAATTAAATTGGTTCTTTCTAGTTCATTAAGTGTTAGTCCAATTTTAACTTCTCTTTTATTGGTTGAATCATCTCAGATATCAACCGTCTTAGTTTCTTCAATCACCGGTGTTTTCTTTTCGAGTGTTTCCATTGCTTTAATAAGTTATTTGTCTTTCTCATTGTTGGTTAAGCAATGCTCGTCATCTTGGGTTAGAGAAGAACACAAGAAATAAGGAGAAGAAGAAATATTATTGTAATTAGAGATCATTACATCAAAGAGTGATATGTCCTCAGGGACTTGATCACTAACTATTCTAGGAGAAGAGATAGAGGGGGGAGGTGCTTCTGCTAAAGACCTAGATGACTCTATAGGGAGAGACTCCGACTCAGAATCTAACTCAGACGACTCTTCAAACATTGGTCCTTGCCCTTTCGTGATAGATATCTTTCTTTCCACTTGGAGTAGTCACCTTAACGGTCTTGCGCCACCCTTGTAGTGATCCTTCAGCTGGAGTGATTAGCTTCGAGGGATCGAAGATTTCGCTTTGTAGGACTGTTTGAATGAGCGAGGAGTTATCCTCTTTGTAAGTTGGCTCATTCTTTTCTCGCCCAAATAATAATTCCATGACGTTAAAGTCAAAGCATGGGGGTGCTTTCTCCTTATGGACATGAGTTGGGATTTCATCTATGAAATTACAATCCAAGAAAATCTTAAATCCCGGTTTCCGTATGCCGTTAACAACAAATGGCTCGGGAAATTCATGGCATGGATAGTCCTCTCCTTCTTTTATAAATTGACCATTAAGTGTAAGAGGGTATTGATCCATAGGGATTGCTTTCTTTTAAGTGCGAGCGTCTCTACGTGCCTTTGATTTTTCCTGGGCTCGCTTGAGATCTTTCCGAGTCGGTTCGAAACCAAGTCCGAAAGTGTCTAACTTAGGGAGGCCAGGTGATTCCAGCGGTTTTGCTATTTCTTTCTTCTTTACTAGGGTCATCCCAGGAAAATGTCCTTGTTTCTTTAGAATAGCATTTACAATCATGTTGCAATGGGGGTCATGGAAAAGAGGGGTTGTTTCATCCTCCTAGATTAAGGAGACCTCTTCGTTAAAGCCCTATAAATCTTCATCATCCTCGTCATGCTCCACATTAATTATTGGGTTTTCTATGGACTTGATTCTCATAGGTGAAGCGTCGATGGTGATAGGAATTCCCCCAACTATAGCTTTTTCTTGTTGGTGGAGAGATGAGGGGACGGCCTTTAGGTCATGAAGCCAAGGACGTCCCAACAGTAGATTGAATGAAGCTTTAATGTCTACTACTTGGAAATTAGTAGCATGTTCTATTGCTCCCGCCGTTATATTCATGGTAATTTTACCAAGAGCTTGACGACGAGTGTTATCGTAGGCCCTTATTCCTTGTGTAAACGAAGTTAAATCTTCATCCCTTATGCCTAGCATCCTCGCAAATCTAAGTGGGTAGACGTTGATGGCTGATCCATTGTCTACAAGAGTCATAGGGACATTCATTCTCTTGCAAACTACCGTGAGGTTTAATGCCTTGTAATGTTTGTCACCTTCTAGAGGTAAATCCTTATCAGAAAAGGTGATCAAATTGATTGGACTAGGAAGATCACTCGTGAGAAAGTTAGCCAACCCCCCAGGAGTGGTGTCAGAATCTATCCCTATTTTGTCCAAGGCATTCATTACAGCCAACCTATGTTCTCGGGATGTTGCCAAAAATTTCCATACGTTCATTTCAACTTTTGTTTTCTTAAACTACTTGACGATATCATTGTCTTCAATGATAGGTATGGGAACTTGTTGTGTGGTTGGCATCGGTTGTGTTGAAACGGGAGGTTGCATTGTCCCGGATCTTGAGAGGACGTCTATCGATGAGTCTTCTTCAGCCCAAAAGTCATCCATGGCGTATGACACAGAAGGTGAATATCCTACTATGTCTTTTAAGTAGACGTCTTCTTCATCACTGTCCCAAACGTCATTAATGCTTGCATCGTCTTCTTGTGGAACTTGGACTAGTTTCTTTTCATCAATCATTTTCTGAATTAAATCCTTAAATTTAAAACAGTTTTCGATGGTGTGACCCCCTGATTGATGATACTGACAGTAATATCTATCTGTTCTTTTCAATGATTCGAATGGTCTCGGTTCGAGAGGTTTGATCACGCCACTCTCGGAGAGCATTTCGAACATTTGTACATATGGGATCCCAATTGGAGTGTAGAGTCTATTACTCTTCTTGGGTTTTTCAGTGACTTGTAAAGGAAAACGCTTTGCCTCATAAGTCGTTCCCCTGGGTGTGAATTCTCTCTTAGGTTCATCTTTCGGGAGTGGAACCTCGTCATATTTCTTCTGAAGTTCCTTTATAGCCTTGAGAGTTTCACGTAGCAAATGTGATCCTTCCATCATAGACAGTGTGAGCGATTGTATGTCTTCTTTACTTGCTGGTTCTGGAAGTCTATCCATGGCGTCGAAGAAGATCTCCTCCTCTTCTTCGATGGC